CTGATTCCTTTGCAGAGCAACTACAAAAGCCTCTGCATCCCGTGTTTTTGAGAAGCTATCATATGATAATATAAATGTAACAGTTTTACAGTTATTTTGGGCAAAGGTGGGGGTAGGAAGAGTAATTATTTTACAAAGGAATTAACTATAGTTACATACATTTTTTTTTTTTCTGCGCCTGATACAAAACTTTTGACTGTGCAACATTACAACAGGAAGTTGCATTAGCTTTGGTTCTTTCAGTTATGTGATAGTGTTTTTAATATATGCACCATGTAAAATGCAAATTCTGAATACCTGTGGTTATCAGCATCTTAAAAATTCCTTGGATGGAATAGAGGTAGACGTCTACACCATATACACACTTTAAAGCAAAATGGTGCACAAATTAAAGAACATTTCTCTGGGAGAAGTTAGTTGGAGTTAAAACCTAATACCTATTATTTATGATCTATTTACAAAGTGTATATGCCCCATTGAGAAAGAGGAGCCTTTTTAGGTCAGCTCCTTTTATAACAGGTCTTTGGGAAGATAAGAGGCTTGTCAAAAGCCTGTAAGAAGTTGATACAATTAGTAGGGTAATAGGAGTTTATTTTAGTTGGTTTCAAAAATGTCTGAATTTATTTTTTGTGGTTAGGAATTAGACTGAGAGGAAAAAGACATTACAGCATGTGTACTTGGGAAATTACTCTTCTCAAATATATTTGAATGTTTCTTAATCACTATTCTTACACATGTAAAGTAAAATCAGCTTTACCATTCACAATGTCTTTATAGTGCTTACTGTCTGTCCCTATTATATATATTCTCTATATATTCTAAAAACTCTTGTGTAATCTCAGTAAGACTGTCCTAAAGGCATTAACTTTTAAAACTGTAATAAATAATTACAAAGTAACTAGAAATCCCTGACTTTACACAGTTGCAGTTCATTGCCCCACAGCAGCCTTAAAATAATCTATTAAATGATTATTAGAAACAATTAATTATACCAGAGAAATCTAAGAGCTCAAATGTAATTTCATGGTTATAATTTTCTTGTCAGGTAATAAAACGGGAAGAGCTTGGCAAGGATCTGTCTGACTGCTCTCTGTTCGATTTGCTGAAATACGATGATTATAATAGTGACAAGCACCTAGCTCTGGAAGAATTCTATAGAGCTTTTCGTAAGTACAAAGATTAGCCTATTCTTTCAGTCTTCTTTTCTCTTGCTTTGCTTTTCTAAAATTGTGCTTTTTTTTGTTTTTAAATCTTGAAACATCCTGATGCTGTACTTAAACAATGAGTATAATTTAACAGTCATGATATAGTAGAGAACTCCTTAGCAGAAATCAATGAGATCCACTAGTGTCCAGATTTCTGAGGGATTTGGGTAATGAATTCATAGATAATCTTTCTTATGCCAACATACTTTGATAAGCCTGTGTTGTGCACAAGCAGGAAGTAGTGTGGTCAAGACATAATCAATGAAACCGAAAAGGCTAAGACGCTTCCTCACACCCTGTATTTATGAGTGCTGATAAAGCCTTTTCTGACAAACCCAGCAATAAATGTGCTACTTGCATTATGTGCTTTTTGTCTTCATGGGACTTGGAGAGAGATACAGATTCGTGGTGTAATTTTGCCAGGTATTTGTTCTCTGAATGCCAAAGGTGACTGGGGACAAATGTGTACAGTATGTACAAACATCTTGTCCAAACCACTGGGGTGTGGGCCAGCTTGGTAGTGAGTAGCAGAAAGAAGAATGATGTTGAGATCTTTTGTACGGTATGTTACATGCCATATGAAAAACATCCATTTATTTCGTTACATCCAGATCAGAACTCATGATTTTCTCTCTTTACTACCTCAAATCTAAGACTGAATCTTGAAATCTGACTTTGGTTTCAGTAGCTGTTGCTCCACATTCAGCAACTTGGCAGCACAGGAGATCAAGTTTGTGCTCTTCCTATAATTATAGTTTCACTATGCATTGACTAGTCCATTAACGTACCTTCATTTTGAGTCATTACAGCCTGTTGCTGTAGTCATCTTGTAGTTTATCTTTGGACAACTGACAGGTCTCGGCCACTTTAGGTGATGCTGAATGAAAAAAAAAGAAAAAAAATCCTACTTATAAAGTTTAAAACTAGGAAATAATGAATGGGTATTAGGAAAAAAAAATGACTGTGTGGAAAGAAATAAGAATAAAACTCAAATTAATCATTAGGGAAGGCTGCCTGAAATTTTCTGTCCTGGTTTTGGCTGGAATAGATTTAATTTTCTTCCTAGTAGCTGGTACTGTGCTGAGTTTTGGATTTAGTATGAGAAGAATTTTGATAACATGCGATGGTTTAGTTGTTGCTGAGCAGTGCTTACACCAGTCAAGGATTTTTTCAGCTTCCCCTGCTCTGCCAGGTGCACAAGAAGCTGGGAAGGGGGCACAGCCGGGACAGCTGACCCCAACTATGCCAGACTACATGGCGTCATGCTCAGTGTATAAACTGGAGGGAGTCGGATGTGGGGGGCAGTGACTGCTGCTCGGATGTTGGGCGTTGGTCAGCAGGTGGTGAGCAATTGCATTGTGCATCACTTGTTTTGTATATTTTTTTTATAATTATTACTATTTTCCCTTCCTTTTCTGTTTTATTAAACTGTCTTTATCTCGACCCACAAATTTAATATTTTTTTTTCCTCTCCCTTATTCCACTGAGGGAGAGGGGGAGTGAGCACACATCTGTGTGGTGTTCAGCTGCCTGCTGGGTGAAACCACAACAGTTTCCTAGTTTTGCCCATTGAATTCTATTGCTACTTCCCTGAAAGTCTTTCAGAAAGTGTGATTTTGTGATACCAGATGGCTTACTGCTCCTAAAAAAAACTTGATCCTGCTTCCCGACATTGTCTGACTGCCTTTCTTGCAGTGCCCTGACAGTTATGGTCTCTCCTCTGAGTTGCTTACTAAACCAGCACAAAAATATTCACCGTCCACATCCCACCTCCAGTGCTGCTTAGTTGAGTGACCTGAACTGAATAAGTGAAGGGTCAGACCAGAACTCATGCAAAAGAGGTGAAAGGAGAGTACAGCAGAGAAATAGGGTGGGGGGAGATGGGGCGGGGGAGAGAGAACGAGATGTGGCAGTGAGATAAATTAATTCATCTCTACCAGCAAAACAGTAGGAAATACCTTAATTTCTTTATTAAAAGTTGTCATACAAGTCTGGCTTACCAAAACATATAGAATTACATAGCATCTGTAGAAAGGGACCCATGCATTATCTACAATTATATAGATGTTATAAATGTAGATCCTGAGTATATGCATAGATGAGGAAATATATGGTAGCATGTAGGATATAGAGCAATCCAAGAAGGTTAAAGACATGTTTAAAGTGTTAGCATGCTGTTTGCAAACACTGAAACCATGTATTAACAGAAGCATAACATTGTTCTTCCAAATAAGACTTTGATGTGCCTCTGAGGGACTATTTTGCATAGTTGTAAAACTCCAGACATAGGGATAACTTTTTGGTTTATATTTTTAATGGACTTTTAAATAATGAAGATCATTTCCATATGTTATGTTAAGTATTGTCTTAATATGAATGGTAATGGAAACATTAGATCACATAAAGTTAGGAATTGTTAGGTTTGTTGCAATACAATAGTGAGAAGACCCTATTTAAAACTACAGGGGTATCTCGGAAGATGATGTCTAGAGCGAGATTAATTCTTCTAAGTAGGTTTTTTTAACAAATGGTCTACATATTCATTTAATTGTTTAAAAATGAAACCTAAGAAAAGGTACTTGTTCGTTGTATATTGTGTGCCCAACAGGCCAAAGGAATGTGACATACCATTAGTCTCTGTAATTAAGACAAAACAAATGCTCTTGAAATAAATTTGAGGATTAACTCTAGTTCTATTGCATTTGGTCTCAAAAGAGTTTTAATTCTGTCATTCTGACCTACGTCAATAGCATTAACAAAAATTACATAATGCTATAAAAGTATACTAAGCTAAGCAAAACCAAAACAAATTAAATGATCGCCACCTGGTTGTTCGACTACTGCTCTTAGCTGATCCCAAGCTGAAACCAAGCTCTCCACACAAGCTGAACCAACCCCAGGCAAAGCAAATGGGACAGGCCCAGTCCACAGGCCTGTGTTGTTTTGCTTAAGGCAAAGACTATGACTTGTTACTGGTAATGGCAAGTCAGGATTTACCAGGATACGGAGAATTAATATAGACAGGGAACCAGATCCATGTAAGAAAATATACATAAGAAGCACTCATGTGACATCTTCCACACACCATTACATGCAGAGGTATCTCCTCATTTAAGTAACAACCTACGATAGAATTAAACATTTTAATTTTCTTCAGTAACGTGAAATAAGACTGTTGAAAATATATTCCAAGCAGTAATAAACCTGATTTTTTCCCCAGTATTTTCTTTAAGTATTTAATAATTTCAGTTTTGCATTCTAAACTTATTTGCTTCAGTCTTCACTGTCGAGGCTGGCCCTCAGGCTCCCCAGTCCTGGCAGGTAAGCAAGCAAGCTTGGAGAAAGGATGACCTTCCCTCTGTCGATGTGAATCAGGTTAGGGATCTTTTAAGGAAGCTGGACACCCACAGGTCCATGGGCCCCGATGGAACGCACCTGCAAGTGCTGAAGGAACTGGCAGATGACATTGCTGAGCCACTCTCCATCATCTATGAAAGGTCGTGGAGAACAGGAGAGGTGCCTGAAGACTGGAAGATAGCCAATGTCACTCCAGTCTTCAAAAAGGGCAAGAAGGAGGACCCAGGGAACTACAGGCCGGTTAGTCTCACCTCTGTCCCTGGAAAGGTGATGGAACAACTCATTCTGAGTGTCCTCTCCAAGCAAGTGGATGAAAAAAAGATCATCAGGAGTACCCAGCACGGATTTACCAAGGGGAAATCATGCCTGACCAATCTGATAGCCTTCTATGATGGCATGACCGGCTGGGTAGACAAAGGGAGAGCGGTGGATGTTGTCTACCTTGACTTCAGCAAGGCTTTTGACACTGTTTCCCATAACAC